AAGGGTTACTCCATCAATGTTATTAGCGTTACTTTGTTTTTTTGCAAGCACCTACACTTGTGACTGATCGCACAGAAAATGTGTGTTTTTCTTTATTTTTTATTTTATATGATTAGTGGATTACTAATAAGGTAGTTATTGAATGTATTTTTTTTTGAAATATCAGTCAATGTGTGTACTCGTGCTAATGCACAGATTATATTATGCTCAATAGAAAAATGCACGGATTATATTATACGCGAAGGAAAACAACACAAAATGAAATGTCAGTAGATATTGAAATTCCTAAAAAAAAAGAAAAGAAATTATTGGGATGGGAAGAAAACATATGATGTATAAATTTTTGTTTCACAAAGTTTCATATGTGGCCAACCACACTATGTGGCCAGTTATTTATGTAGAGGTTACTAAGTTGGTTAAGGGTTACTCGGTAGAGGGGTTACTCAATATTATGGTGATTGTAATTTATTTTTTTCTTAAATGAAGTTCACAAAATTTAAAGATTGATTTGCAAGTATTATGCGAAAATGTTAGGAAAAAATGTGCAATAAAACCAATAATAATATAGATTCCTTGTAATTTTGGAGTTTCTAAAAACAATTTATTAGAAACTCCAAAATTACAAGGAATCTAGAAACGCAAAATTTTGGACAAGGGTTGAACATTTTTTGGCTCGTAACCTAAAGTGACTCGATCCGAGATGACTTATGACCCGACCCTGATTGATAGGTCTACATAGTAATGAAATTATATTAGATTGTGAAGTATATTATTTTAACCGATTAGTTTATATATTATAAATGGATATTTTACGTTTTGAACTACTTCTTTCGCTCCAAAAAATATCATGATATTAAAAACAAATTTATATAATAATTTTTGATAATTATAATTTAAAATATTTTTGAAAATTATAATTCAATTTATACATTTGAAATATTGGTATTTTATTGAAAATAAAACTCTAAATTAACAATTTTATCCTAAAATTTTATCCAAATTTGATTAAAAATAGAATTCTAAACTTTTTTTTTTATTATATCTATCTAAATCTGTCCGACGTGGCGCGACACTTGGCGTTTTAAAACGTCAAGTGTCACTGTCTTGTGGTCTGGCTAAAAGTTAGCTTTATATATTAGTTACTAGTTTTGTGCCCGTGCGATGCTCGGGCTGTTTATTAAATTTAAATATATATATTTTAATCTATATGTCAAATTTTAAAACATATCATTGATACAAATTAGTTAGGAATTGACGTGTTTTTGTGACAATTTAAACTTGTAGACATGTAATGACAAATAATAATAATAATATTGGTGAAAAATATTTTTTGACCCTGTCTGAAATGACTCGTGACCCGACCTGATTGACAGGTCTACACACAGTAATAAAATTATATTAGATTGTGAAGTATATTATTTTAATTGATTACAATATATTATAAACCATGGATGTGGTACATTTTGAACTAATTCCTTCGCTCCAAAAAAATATTATGATACAAAAAATAAATTTATATGATAATAATTTATGAGAGGTATAATCTAATTTTTTTGAATAAAATTATAATTCAATTTTTACATATGAAATATTGGTACTTTATTATCAAAAATAAAACTCTAAAATAACAATTTTATCCTAAAATTCTATTCAAATTTGATTGAAAATAAAATTCCAAACTACCTTTTTTATCCTACAAATTGAATTCTATATAGTTCTATCCTACGTGGCACGACACTTGGCGAAAAGTTGGAACGCCAAGTGTCGTTGTCTCGTGGCCTGGCTAAAAGTTTAGATTTATATATTAGTTATATGATATGATTATATGATATATTAGAAAAAATAAGTTAAAAAAAGGGGAAAATAAAAATATTAGAAGTAGAAGTTATTTAGAAAGTTTTTTTTAGGGAAGTTTTTTTATTTGGAAAAGAAAAGGAGATGGAAGTTATTTGGAGAATAGTGCAATTAAAATAAAAAAAAAAGTGCATGAGAATTGAGGATTGAGGTTTTGGAGAAACCTTTTTATTTGATACAATCTAAGGTTAGTTCCGTGCGATTCACGGTTTCAATGGTAAAAAAAAAAAAAAAAAAAAAATCACTTGTAATGGTGTAGCATAAATTTTTTAAGCAAAACATAGTAATCCTGATCTCTCTCGTTAAATTTATTGAGCTAAAATGGAGAACATAAATATTATAATTAAAGCTATAATAAAATTTTAAAAAATGTTAACTTAACCTTGAAAAAGGAAATAAATAAATAAATATAACAAAAACAAAAATAAATAAAAATGATTTCAACAATAGTTTTGGAAGGAAAATTTTTAATAAGAAGATGTCACGTGTATAGTTATGATGTAAGCGATAATTAGTTAGTAATAGTTATAGATAGATAGATAGATAGATTATTATTGTTGGCTTTACTTTCATATTCCATCTGTTTTAGAAATAACTTGAGTTTCATAATTAGTTTTTTAAAAAAAGTTTAACACTTTATATATAGTTAAGGAAAATTTTTAAATAATCGTACTCCTTTCGTCCCCATTTGGTTGTCACTTTTTCCATTTTTGATGTCCCTAAATGTTTGTCTCATTTGGTTCTAAGAAGAAAAAAAAAATGTTTGTCACATTTCACATTTTCATAATTATTAAGATACATAAAAAGACTTTTATGTATCATAATTATTAAGATACCCTCATTTTTTTTTGTTCTTATTAAGTCCTCTTCCTATTTTACTCTAACATTTGCCATAAAAATAGTGTAAACTTTTGACTAATTTAATGTTTTACACTCTTGAATTGAATCTATCAATTTATCTTTCCCACGTAAGTACTTTAATTATTTTTTAAACTGGAAATGTCTCTCTCCTATGCACTTTTATTACTTTATTAATTGAAAATTTTACTTTCCCATATACTTTCATTACTTCACATTCTTCACCTTAATTCCTGTGATTTTCCTTAAAAAGGGACGGAGGGAGTATAATGACAGGCTAAAGTCGTATCACCTAATCAAAAGTAATTCCTAAATCCTCTAACTAATGTCGATAGGGAAGTAGGGTCGAAGCCACAGAGAAACGAGTCTTTCTATTCCTAATTAATTAATATAATCTAGATTATAAAGTAACCAAAATATAATAATCGAAGGAAACTAAACTACTAAGAGTAAAAGTGGGAAAGAATAAAAGTATGAGGAGAAATAATGAATAAAAGGGCTAGGGCATAGGTTCACCAATAAATAATATTCCAGGGTAAAATATAATAATCAATCATCAATGCATAAATTAATCAGATCATAAAGGCCTTTCGCTACGTATTACAATCACACAATTAATTTACTGGTATTAAATCTCATCTCTCGAATCTCGACTTAACCATTTATAAATTAACCTGCCTATTAAAACTAGACCTAAACATTAATTCTCATCTCTCGAATCTCGAATCAATATTGTCAAACTCATGCATAAAAGATCTGCGCAAATCTAGTCACAAAGCATTAAATCAATCAATAGGAAATTAATCTAGCATTGATAATTAACAACAATAAATTACCCCTTCATATTATTTATGGATCCCTACAAACCCTAGAAATAGAACTACTCACACATAATTAAAACTAACCTAATCAAGATAAATAAACAAGACATGATCAAAGGAATAAAATAAATAACTAAGATTAAGAGAAGAGAAATTGTTACCAAAGAAATCTGGAATTAAGAATAAAGTTAAGAACAAAAGTATATGAGAGAGAAACTAATCTAAACCCTAAGTAGAGAGAGAAAATCTAAGAAAGAATTAAGAAAGAGTAAAAAGAAGATACTAAACTCGCTTAACGGAAAAGTATTTATACTAAGCGAGAATCCTAAACTAAAACAAACTTAAACGTCGAAAATTAACTCCTAATAATAACACGCGCCCGATCGGGCGATCCTTCAGATACACTTCTCGCGCCCGGCCGGGCGCGAGTTCGGGCGCCAGCCTTGCTTCCCTCGCCCGGCCGGGCGTGCCTCCGGGCGCCAGCCTCTTTGGCCGGGCGGCACTCTTGGGCCTCTATTTGGACTTCGATTGGGCTCCAATTCTTCGGGCCAATTTGGGTTTCCTCTTTGGGTTTTGAATACTTGGTCCAAATGCCCTGATATCACCTATACCGAGCCCTTAATCACCGGTTCGATGACTCTAATCGGCCTTGGGCTTCAAAGATGGTCGTGCTTCTCCAATGCTCGTAATTGCTCTATAATATCCCGGGAAAATGCTCCAAAAGTGCAAATCCCTACAAAAGTCAACCAAATCTACGAAAACACTAGAAAACACAAGTTAGTAATAAAAGTGGCTCAAAAGAGCCAAAAACACTACCAATTATGACCAAGGGACGGGGGTAAAATACTATATAAAATAGACATATCATATAACCTTTGGCTTGTTATACAACATTTGAGTTATACATTAACTAGTATTCATTTTTCTACCAATTCCAATAATTTGAAAATTTATTGGAATAGGGTAGAAAACATTTGATGTATGCATTTGGGGGAAGGAGAGGGAGAGATTCATTTTTGCTCTCATTTTAAGAATTAAACATTATCCCTCCAATATTGAAGAGAATTGGAGGGAAAGTGGAGCTCACATTTCCCCTTTCTTTCTCTAAATGGCGGACGCATGCCATTTGAATGGGGTCTCTTGACCCCACTTGAGCATAAAAAAAAAGATTTTTTTTTAAATAAAATTACTTGTTTTTTTTTTTTATTTTTTTATTTTTATTTTTATATCAAAGAACCCCATTAAAATTAATCAAATGCATTTTAACCTCATTAAATACTTTTCTGGATTCGCCACTGCTTTCTCTTCTCTAACCATCTTGTCTTTCCAGTCCCTTCCTTTCTACACTTCTTTGCTAGTTAAAAAAACAAACATTTAAAGATAAACTAATACTTCCTCAATTTTTTTTTATACTTGCAACACACCTGTTATCACGCTTATCAATGAGGTAATTAAACTAGGTAGACGAATGAATTAAGTTATGAAATTTAAACCGTAGCAACTTATCCCTTTCTTCTTATAGGTGTTAAAATTTTGTAATTTAATTTATTTGTTCACCTAGTCTAATGTCTTCCTTAACATGCATGCCAAAAGAGTGTGTTACAAGTAAATAAAAACGGAAGAAGTATGTTAAAAAAAAAAAAAAACTATATCGATTCTATTATGTTCTACTGTACTCACTTACTATAAATACGCAATTTAAAAATTATTGAAGAATGTGAATGGGTGTAGAATAAAGTAAGATAACAAATGTAAATAAGTGAGTTTGTGTAAGAAAAAGGTGAATAAATGAAAATAGAGTATGAAAAATTGATATGTGGAATTGAAGGGGTAAAATTGTAAAGGGGGTATGCCACATCGAAAAAAGCAAAGTGAATAAAATATAATAGAACGACCAACAATGAAAGTGAATGAAACCAAAAAAAAAAACACAAGGAGTGCATAAAAGAAAAGGGAAAAAAAAAAACTAGATTAAACAAAATAAAAGAAGTTCTAAAGCTTCTCCAACAACATCATATTAATGCTAAAATTAATGGTCTTGCAAAGTATGAAAATACATTAATATGTAGGACAATGACCCTTTATTTATTGTAGCACTAGATCTAAATGCACGTAGTGCATGCTAAAACCTTTAGAAAATAAAGCATAGGTGATAATCATCTCTACAAAAAACGCATATTCAGCTTTCAGGTAGACATCAATCTGTTCAAATTTGATTCCAAGACATCCCATAGTTCGAATTCTTCAAGGCTCAAACTTTCCCACGAGGAATCCCTCATCACAGCCAATAACAATCCTAACACATTGAACCCAAAATCATGATTAGTTATTTGAACCCTAAATCATGATTAGTAATTTGAATCCAAAATTAAAGTTTTTCAAATAAAGGATAAGCTTGATAGTCTTACTGATTGGAAGTTTTGTCATACTTAAGTGTCCACACTCGTCCAAGACTCTGATCAAGGGTCTTCTCTAGCCTAAATTTACAGGAATTTGATTAAATCATTAGAGCAATTTACAAAAATGAAATTGTATGAAAATGAAAATATATATATGTTGCTTTAAGAAAGAAAAACCACAACGAAATGAAAATTAATAAATAAAAAATGTTTGAAAGGAGAAAGAATCTTACTTGTAAGTGATTGCATTCCAAATTTTAATTGTTTTGTCCTCAGATCCAGTAAAAATGAGCGGAAGGTCAGGATGAACAAGAGTTGTAGACACATTGTTTGTGTGTCCTTTTAACACTTCAACACAGTTCATATTTTCATAGTTCCATACCTAATTTTTACATGCTATCATAAATTAGATTTTCATTGAATTGAAATCATAATATATGAAAACAATTATCAATATATCATAATATTAATGTAATAAGCATAAAGTATGAACTAACCTTTGTGGTAAAATCATCCGAACCAGTGAGTATATAGAGTTTATTATCACTTGTTAAGTAATAATCAACACAATTAACTCCAGTGTCATGGGCAGCTACGGATTGAATTGGATTTGAATTGTCAAGATTCCATATCTATATTAAGAAAAAGAGATAATAATGGCAAAATTAATATAATTTATAGACTCAAATATGATTCTATTGTGCAATTCTGAACATATATGTGTTAGTTCTCTGCATTAATGTTTCACAAATCTGATCATGATAATCATTAAAAATGTCTTATGGTTAAGTTTATTATTACTAGTAATTTATAGAAATCGTAGAAGTGAATAAGTGATGTTATATAACCTCCGCTTCGCATTACTCGCAACAAAGGGGTATTATTTGTGAGATATAAAATATTCGTTTGTTGCGAGTAATACGAAGCAGAAGTAGTATTTATATATGATCAAAATTCCTATGTAGTACGTACCTTAATGGAGCCATCAAGAGAAACACTAACAAAGTTGTTATGGTCATTCGGGTTGATAGCCACCTGCATCACATAATGTGAGTGTCCTTCGAAGGTTCGAGTACAAACCCAATCGTTTTCCCAATCCCAGAGCTTGATTTGTTTGTCGTCGGACGCGGTTAAAACATATGGAAGACTGGGATGAACAACAATGTCCCTCACATAATCTTCATGTGCTGTAAACTCCTTGACCTTCTCTTCAGTTTTGTAGTCATACACTCGGATCATTTTGTCATCGCTCCCTGTTATTATCCAATCCTTTTGTGCTACAAATATTGCTGACCTCACTGTCAAAATCAACACATCGCTACTTCATTAACGAGACATAAAATATACGGCGTACCAAGTAAAAGTTTGATACACCCGGGTATACATAATAGACTCTCATGAAAATCGAAGACATGCCTGGTATATTGGAAGTAACCTCGAACGATTTCTCCATGCTCTGAGAGAAAAAAATTAGAAAATAATTAAGTTGTAAATTTCAAACAGAATAGCAAAAGAAAATCAATTTATAAATATGATACATCTCGATTATTACCTTTGATTGATAGTTCCAGATTTGGACTGTTCCAGAGTAAAGACCAACCAAGACCCTGCATATTATAGGGGGATTATGATTTATTTTTATTAACTAGAAAAATGTATTTTAGTTTCTATTTACTGATAAGTGATACGAAGTAACAATTAGTCAATGCCTTATTGACATGCTACGTATACCAATATTTTTATAAAAATCCATATAAAAAAAAAAAAAGAAAAATCATTTGCCTTTTACATGCGTTTTAATAAAGACTAAATAAATAGTTTATTTTGTTGATTAAATGAAAATATGGTAAACTATATATACAGGGCATACAAGTTTATATAAATGGTTGAAAATCGTTCATTAAATTACCATGGCTGCACCGGATGAAGGTCCAATGACTTTACTCTAGCGGATTGTTGAGTGAATTCAACCTGAAAACAGAAAAATTGCAATAAGGCTTATGAATTTCCAAAAATAGAGATTATGACAATTTAAATTGATTTTTGTGAAAAAGATGTATCACCTGGAAATCATTGGTGTTGATGAGAGACTGCAATAAACAATGAAAAATGCTTATGTAGTTAATTAAAGGCACATATGTAGATCCATATAAGAAATTTCATTCAATTCTGACTCGGAACAAACATATTCATATGAATTTGTTTGTTTCAAACACTCAAAAATTTAAAATATGACTGTTGATAAGGAATTAGACTGCATAACAGGTTACCATATCATTTTATTTCTTCTTAAATTTTTTTAAAAAAAAAACGCACAATTTTGTAAATTACCATTAAATGATTTAAATACATAATAAATTACCATTTTTATTTCTTGAATGTGGAAATAAACTTGAAAATTCTTCTTTAAGTTTACAATTTTGTAGGAGAAATGAGAAATAATAGAAAAAATGTATTGCATGAAATTGCAACAAAGTAAGATGGGTATTTATACTATTCGTCACGACAACAAGAACAAGGATATTATAAAATAAGGTACTACTTATTATTGTCATCATTCAATATACTTTTAACCGTTGGATTCATTATTTGTAAAAATGAAGGGTGGATATTCAAGCGAGTGATGCATTCTTCTTGAGTAAATGTGCAACTGCTAATAAAAGAAAAGTCGTTTTTGGCTCCTTTGGTATATCTTCTATTGTTTCACACCTATATTTTCAATTTTTACTCTTTAGCCTCTAGACATTTGCAAAATTGCAAGCTTCAAACTATGCACATTGGGCCTATTTTTTAGCCTTGTCCAACAGCCCACCAAATATAAATATACATAATACTCTAATGAGTCTGATCCATACATCATAAACATTCTTTTTTTTAGCAAGGAAGAAACAAAGAGCTTGATTAATACGCTAAAACGCTAACAAACTCATTGCATCTATGTAGTATTATACTTCCCAATTCCCCAAAAATACAACTTGAAATAATTAACTCTAGTATAAAAACATAAGAACACTCTATTTCACTGATGTGGAATTGGACCCTTAACTTGATTAAAAGAAAACAAAAGATGAAATCTATTTGAGAGAGTGAGTTTTTCCAACTGAAATTAATTGGCTATTTATAAATCAAATTTACTTTGGAAAAACATCTTTGTACTGCATATCCATGTCGCCACTACTCTAAACCCACTAAGCAGAATATGCCCTAAAATTAAGGACATAATCTCTTCAATGTGTAAGACTATGACATGAACTAAGGGTCTGTTCTGATTAACTGAATTGAGTTGAACTGAACTTATTAAAGCTGAACTGAACTGGACTAAACTGAAAATAATTTGAAGAGATATGCCCTACGTCATGAAGAGTAGTTTGCAAGTTTTGGAAAACAAAACTCAGATTGTTAAATATGGAATAGAAAATAAAGAGAGATGAGGGAAGATTGTTACGTTGTATTTCATATTCCATCTAGTACGAGATATATATAATGTACATTTCCTAGGGTTCCATAAATGGATAAGACCAAATACCCAACTCTAGAATATTCTAGATTGTACATGGGATAATAGTCATCCATATTTAGATATTATCATAACACTCCCTCTTGGATGACTATATATTGAATAAAACAATAACTAACATTTACTACAAAACCTGTACAAAATAATACACTATAATGCGCATAAGATGCTGCCTCGCTAAAAACCTTACCAGGAAAACCCAGTGGGAAAAAAACCATGGTTAAGGAAAAAAGAGTGCAGCGCGCATTAACTCCCCCTCATGACTACATCACTTGAGATCTTTAAGATGACGCAATCCAATGCCGTAAGCTAACTTTTTGAATGTTGCTTTCGGAAGAGCCTTAGTAAATAAGTCTGCTAAATTCTCACTTGAACGAATTTGCAATACATTTATATCTCCATTCTTCTGAAGATCACGAGTGAAGAAAAATTTGGGTAAGATGTGCTTTGTTCTGTCGCCTTTGATGTATCCTTCCTTAAGTTGAGCAATACAAGCAGCGTTATCCTCATATAAAGTTGTTGGTGCCTCTTTCCCAGATGATAAACCAAAAACTTCTTTTATATGTTGAACTACCGACCTTAACCATACACATTCACGACTAGCCTCGTGAATTGCTAAAATCTCAGAATGATTGGAAGAAGTAGCTGCAATGGTTTGTTTCATGGAATGCTAAGAAATGGCAGTACCACCATATGTGAACACATATCCAGTTTGTGACCGACCATTATGAGGATCAGATAAATAACCTGCATCTGCTAAACCAATCAAATTTTCTTTGGACAACTTTGGGAAAAATAAACCCATATCCTTCGTACCTTGAAGGTAACGAAGTAAATGTTTAATCCCATTCCAATGCCTTCGGGTTGGACATGAACTAAACCTTGCTAATAAATTAACTGAAAATGATATATCAGGTCGTGTATGACTTGCAAGGTACATTAGTGCTCCAATTGCACTAAGATACGGTACTTCAGGACCAAGAATTTCTTCATCATTTTCCCGAGGTCGGAATGGATCTTTCTCTACTTCAAGTGATCTTACAACCATAGGGCTGCTCAATGGATGTGCTGTATCCAAAGAAAATCTTTTAAGAACCTTTTCTATGTATGTTGATTGATGCACAAGGATTCCATTCTCTAGGTGCTCTATTTGTAACCCCAAGCAGAATTTTGTCTTTCCTAGATCTTTCATTTCGAACTCTTTCTTTAAATAATTGACAGTCACTGAAATCTCTTCAGGAGTTCCAATGATATTCAAATCATCAACATACACTGCAATTATAACAAATCCTGATCCAAATTTCTTTATAAAAATACATGGGTTGATAGGATCATTCTTATAACCTTCTTTCAACAAATACTCACTTAGACGGTTATACCACATACGCTCAGATTGTTTCAATCCATAAAGAGATTTGTTCAATTTAATACAGAGTTGTTCTCGAGAACTAGATTTTGCTGTTTTCGGCAACTTGAATCCTGCTGGGAGCTTCATGTAAATGTCATTATCCAGTGGGCCATATAAATAAGCTGTGACTACATCCATCAAACGTAAGTCAAGTCCTTCTCTTATTGCCAGACTAATCAAAAATCTAAAAGTAGTTGCATCCACCACAGGAGAATATGTCTCCTCATAATCAATACCAGGTCTTTGTGAGAATCCTTGTGCAACTAAGCGTGCCTTATATCTTACAACTTCACCCTTTTCATTTCTCTTTCGCACAAAGACCCATTTATATCCCACTGGCTTTACACCTTCAGGTGTACGGACTACTGGTTCGAATACTTCTCTTTTTCCAAGAGATTTTAATTCTGCTTCTATTGCTTCTTTCCATTTTGGCCAATCATTTCTTTGTCTACATTCTTCAATAGATTTTGGTTCATGATCCTCATTATTATCCATAACATCTAATGCTACATTGCATGCAAAAACATCATCGACGTCGATTTGATTTCGGTTCCATGTAATTCCAGACATGATATAATTTATTGAAATTTCTTCATTATCAGGTACCTGAATTTCTTCTTGTATCATGTCTAAAGTCTCTTCTGGAGATCCTTCGGAAATTGTTTCTTCAATTTGACCATCATCAATCAATGCTCCTTTTCTTTTCCGAGGATTCTTATCTTTGGAACCTATTGGTCTTCCACGTTTTTGGCGTGGTTTAGACTCATTAGCAATTTTATTTTGTCCTTCCGGGACATCTATTTTAAATGGAGCATTAACAGCTGGAATATGCGACTTGGTCACTCTTTTTGGGTCAGCAAACGAGTCTGGCAATTGATTTGCTAAACTTTGTAAATGAATTATCTTTTGAACTTCCAGTTCACATTGTTTAGTTCGAGGATCAAGATAGGATAATGATAATTCATTCCATTTAATTTCATTTTCCAGCTCTCTCTTTTCTCCCCCTAATGTTGGGAAAAGTGACTCGTTAAAATGACAATCTGCAAAACGAGCCGTATATAAATCCCCTGTTGTAGGCTCAAGATATTTAATTATTGACGGGGATTCAAACCCAACATATATCCCCATCCTCCTTTGAGGACCCATCTTAGTGCGTTGTGGTGGAGCTATTGGAACATAAACCGCACATCCAAAAATTCTTAGATGGGAAATATTTGGTTCCAGACCATAAACCAATTGTAATGGGGAGAACTTGTGATAACTTGTTGGCCTATAGCATGTCCCCAAGCAGAAATTGGGAGATTGGATTTCATAAGCAATGGTCTAGTAATTAACTGAATACGTTTTATTAATGACTTTGCTAGACCGTTTTGTGTATGAACATGTGCTACAGGATGTTCAACATTTATCCCAATGGACATGCAATAATCATTAAAAGCTTGAGATGTAAATTCACCAGCATTTTCAAGCCGAATAGTCTTAATGGGAGTATCTGGAAAATGTGCCTGTAACTTAATCAATTGGGCAAGTAGTCTCGCAAACGCCAGGTTACGAGTTGGTAACAAAGACACATGTGACCATCTAGTTGATGCATCAATTAAAACCATAAAATATCTAAATAGTCCACATGGGGGATGTATGGGCCCACAAATATCTCCTTGTATACGTTCCAGAAAACTAATTGATTCAAAATTAATTTTAGCTGGTGATGGGCGAATAATCAACTTGCCTTCCGAGCAAGCAGCACATGAAAAATTATTATGAAGAATCTGTTGGCTCTTCAAAGAATGTCCACATGAATTCGTAATTATTTTTCGCATCATTATTGAACCGGGATGGCCTAACCGGTCATGCCAAACAACAAAATCATTAGTAAACTTCTGGTTTACTATAGCATGAGCTTCAATAACATTGATTTTTGTGTAGTACAAACCACTAGAGAATGTAGGTAGTTTCTCCAAAACATGTTTTGAGCCTTGAGTTATATTTGTGATTTGAAGGAATTCGTTATTTTCTTCATTGATTGTCTCAATATGATAACCATTGTTGCGAATATCCTTAAAACTTAATAAATTTCTTTGAAACAATGGGGAGTATAAAGCATCAATTATTTTAATTTCAGTTCCCCAAGGCAACTTTATAGTGGCTCTTCCGGAGCCCTCAATGATATTTGTACTACCCGATATGGTACTTACATTAATCCTTTTCATCATCAAATGAGAGAAATATTTTTTATTTTTAAGTATTGTATGTGTAGTTGCACTATCAGCAAGACATAATTCTTCACCATTCATAGCAAATTGAACTTGAGTAATATCCATGTTCTTCATGAAATAAAATACATGTCAAAATATTAAGCATAAAAATAAAGATGATAAAACAAAATAAATCAATAAAAACACTCAAATAGTTCATAAATTTATAAAGCAAAAATCCTTATTACAACGAAAGAAATAAACTTAAATAAATTACTAGAATAAGCAAACATAAGTCTAATACTTAAAACTGACATAATACAATATAATTTTAATTATTCCCTTCTGGGGCAGTGAAGAAATCGACAACTTCTAAATGAGTTGTACTGTCAAAATCAAAATTATTCCCTTCCGGGGAAGTAAGGAAATCACCAACATCAAATTGATTGGTATTGCCAAAATCAAAATCACCTTCACCATCTTCAAGAACAAGGTTTGTCTCAACTTTCTTTCCTTTCTTCAATGATTCTTGGAAAAGTTCAATAAGATGCTTTGGAGTTCTACAAACCCGAGACCAATGACCTTTTCCTCCACAACGGTAACATATATTGTTATCACTTTTCTCTTTTTCATCCCTACGTTCCCACTTCTGGTGGGAATGTGAGTTTGTGAAATGACCTCCACGACCTCTACCATATCCACGTCCACGACCCCGGCCGCGCCATTGGCCACGACCACGACCTCTACCTCGACCACTACTGCTGGAATGGTCCCTATTTTTAGTTTCTTTCCCATTATGGGTTGTCACATTCGCTTCAGGGAATGGAGTAGAGCCAGTAGGACGTGATTCATGATTTTTCATTAACAGCTCGTTATTTTGCTCAGCCACAAGAATATTTTTTAAAACCTTTTTCTCTATATTGTGTCTGCAGGACAATATTATTAGCATGGAAAGTGGAGTATGTCTTTTCAAGCATTTCTGCTTCAGTAATATTTTCTCCACATAATTTCAATTGAGAAGTTATTTTAAACATAGCTGAGTTATATTCACTAACAGATTTAAAATCTTGCAATCTCAAATTTAACCATTCATAACGAGCTCTAGGGAGTATCACTGTTTTTTGGTGGTCATACCTTTCCTTTAGATTACTCAAAAGGATCGGATTTGTGGGTCTTTCACAGTTAAATATTCATTTTTGAGCCCTTCATGGAGGTGATGGCGAAGAAAAATCATGGCTTTAGCCTTATCTTGAGGTGTTGCCTTATTAGCCTCTTTTATTGTTTCACCAAGCCCTTTAGCATCTAGGTGTATTTCAGCATCTAACACCCATGATAAATAATTCTTTCCGGTAATATCAAGGGCCACAAATTCGAGCTTGGCAAGGTTCGACATTTTTCACTATACAAAATAATATTAAAAGATAAGTATATATAAATAGTATTCAAAAATATGTATTAAACGTTATAATCATGCATAATTAAACCTGATACAAATCATGCATAAATAAGAACGAAATAGAAGATGAGAACGTTAGCATAGAGAAAAATAAGAATGGAACCTTAAATTATATATCATGCTCTGTATTCGTTATATATGTTGATATTCCAATAAATAAGCATGCAAAAGTAGATAAATGTTAAATTATAATTGTTATGGGCTGCGATCATACTTACATGATAATAATAATATGGGATTCTAGATAAATGTTTGGTAATCCTACTTAGTTGACTAGCAATGGTGCTGATAACGTGTTAAATATGGAATAAAAAATAAAGAGAGATGAGGGAAGATTGTTACGTTGTATTTCATATTCCATCTAGTACGGGATATATATAATGTACATTTCCTAGGGTTGCATCAATGGATAAGACCAAATACCCAACTCTAGAATATTCTAGATTGTACATGGGATAATAGTCATCCATATTTAGATATTATCATAACACAGATTTTATTTTATAACTAATATTTCGAAAATAAGAGAAAATAAAATCCTTTTCATAAATTCAAAAAGATGAGATTTTAAACCAACTATTTTCCTAAAATCAAGCGACACAACTTCTCTTCTCTAGTGAAGCTTCTACTCCGAAACTTCTATTTCTTGAGGTGAACTTTTCTTCTCAAGGCTCCATCTTTGAACCACCAGGGAACTCTTCTCTTTTGGATTACTTTATCCTGGGTTATCTTGTTCCTCATGGAATCTTAGCAATACACTCAATTCTCCTAGTCAATGCATCTAATCATACTTAAACAACCAAGCGCTTATTAGTCTGTGAATAAGTTAGGCTGTGTCATCATCAAAATCATAATGTCAACAAACGTTCAAGCTACCCGGCTAAAGAGCTTCTTTATTATTGTACTGATTCTTTTTAAAAGCAGTGACGGTAGTTGACACCATTGCAAACACATAACCATGATCAATTCTAGGATATTTCTCCATCCACTTTGTGACATACAAGTATCCCCTAGAGAAGTTTAGGTCCCCGCTTCCTTCTTTAGAACAGGCACTTGGAAGTGATGGAGAAAATTAAACACCTACAACCGGCCACAAGTGTTCGTAGTTGAAAGGATTTATCCTCTTAATATTAAGATTAAGATAACAATGTAATTCCAACCAATAAACCAAACCTTGTTTTTCTTGCATATTACTTGCTACTCTATAAATATAATCTACGGCTATTTCACCAAATGCCACTGACAAATTACGAAATTCATCAAATGCCATCGAACTTTTCAGAATTCACCAAATGCCATTGACAACTAGTATATTAACACAACGTGCCATTAATGATGCCAGGACGTTAGTTGGCCGTTAATGAAATTCTTAATTCATGAAATGCCATTGAGAAGTTTATATATTTCACCAAATGCCATTACTTTTATGTTTTGTTTCCCAGAAAAACCTCTGTTCATATGAAGGTGTAACGACTAGTTAGTTTGAGTTTTTTTAAATTTTTTTTGGACATAATAGCCGTTGCACCGCATTTGTTATATATACAGTAGACTACAACTGTTGTAGGAAATGATTTTTGCAAAATCATGAGCTTCATGTCAAACACATCCTCTTCAAAACATGAGTATGCGTATGTGAGGGTTCCAAATAAATTGTGCAATTGTGTTAGAAAATATGCAATTAGAAGCTCAGAATCAACATCAAATCCCCAAAGGCTTTATTATAAGTGTGATGCATGTGATAGCTTCAAATGGTGCAAGGTTGTGATGCATGAAGAAGGTCAAAGCATGGGAAGTCAGAGCAGGGGAAGCTGTTATGCAAGGGATGGGTCAGGCCAAAGCAATGTACATGAAGAATTGAAACTGTTGAAGAAGAAAATCAAGCAACATCAGAAAGTCGTGGATTGTATAATTAAATTAGGGGTACTGATTTGTGTAGTAGTGATGTTTGTAATATTGAAGTAAACTATTGTGTAATTGGATTGAAATTTAATAAAAACTGAAGTTATATTTTGTGCCCAAAAAATTTGGTTCCTGTTCAAATCATGTACCCAAAAGATGCTTCCTGTTTAATTACAAGTTTATAGTAAAAAATACTACACAAAATAGCACACACAACACTGTCAATCTTCAAAAATTACATGGAGAAACTGGGTGTGCACTAAAAACAGGAGAAACTTTGCATTCATGCTGCTTTCTTTTTTCTGTTGTTGGCTTGAGAGGTGGTGGCTGATGTGCTTGCTTCAGTTGCAGCCCTTTTCTTCCTTGATGAACAAGTGACCTTGTTGTGTCCCAACTCACTGCATAAGCTGCACTTTACTGTTGCATGCCTCTTCCCTCTCCTAGATTCATTTGGCCCTCTTTGTCTTTGCTTCTTTGGTCTCCCTGCAGCTCTTTTCACCAAAGGGGGCAATATGCCAGGTAGGTTCCCGGATGGCCATTGTGATGGGTCAGGCATAGGGTGCATATGCTCTGCATAAGTGAGCTTGTATGCCTTCCCTTTGAAACAGGGGGCTACAAAGTCTGCTGGTTGCAGCCTCTGGTGGTATATGACCCTCAGCACATGTTTGCATGGAAGTCCAGAATGCTGCCATTTCCCACAACCACATATGCCAGTGCTCAGCTTGATGGGAAAATGGACATGTTGGTCTCTGACCTCAAATTCATCCCCACCACAGGGAATAGCATAGCATAACCTTGACTCATCTGATCTTGTTTGTAGAATCTTGTCTGCATACTCAGTCAGGTCCATATCCCCCATGGTTAGTGATTTGTCAAACCTTGAGCCAATCCTCTTCATCACCCATTGCCTTATAGCTTCAAAACAGTATGCAAAAAAAAAAAAAAGGTGTTAACAACATGGATTACAGTATATTTTTGTGTGTTCAGCTTCAAAACAGTATGCAAAAATAGTCGTACCTTCAAGTATTTTCAGAACTGGTAAATCTCTGTATGGCTTGGTGCATGAGTTGAAAGACTCCACAAAATTTGTTGTGTTATGGTCACAACAGAGGGCAGGATCAAACTTATGCCTTGACCAGACCTCAGTGCAACTCTCTAAGTACTCAACAGCCTTAGGGTTGTATTCTTTTATCTTTTGCATTGCCTTGTTGAACACATACTCGTTGTATGCATCAGCAGCTATCCAGAACAGCTTGTGAAATGCTGAACCACTAAATCCTTTAGCCTTGCAGTTCATGTATAGGTGCTGGCAACACACTCTTCTTGTTGCTCTAGGGAATGTCTCATTAATTGCTGTGTCAACCCCCTGCATACAAAACAGTGTAATGAGTAATTGTTAAACATGAGAAACTAAACTAAGAGTGACATGTAAGAACAAGAATATGAGGGTGGATTACCTTCATTCTGTCAGAGATGAAGGTCCAATCATCTCTCCTACAACCTTCTTTCTCAAACAAGCACCTCAAATTCCTAAGAAAATAGCCCCAACTGTCAATACTCTCAGAACCCACCACTCCATATGCAATGAGAAAAATCTCATTATTCCCATCAATCCCAACAACAGTTAGCAGAATGCCCTTGAAATGTCCACTCAGGTGGGCTCCATCAATGCCAATGAATGGCCTGCATCCTCTCAAGAATCCCCTTAGTTGGGTAGCAAAAGAAAAGAAACAGCCCTTGAACCTTGGGGGCTCAGTTGCAGTGGCCTCACCCCATGTGACCAGGGCATAACTACCTGGGTTGGTCTCCTTCACCATTTCAGCATACCTAGGCAACACTGAGTAGGCCTCCCCATAACCACCATGGATAATCTCCTTGGACATTGCCCTCACCTTGTACAACAACCTTTTCTTCACTTGTAGCCTAAACCTTTCCATACAAAGTTTCTGTAATGCATCAACTGGTATGTCAGGATTGGCATGAATGTCTGACTGAAGATGCCTACACAGCCACTGAGAACTCACAATTGGATTTATTTCCAATCTCCCACAACTACTATGCTCTCCTGTTAGAGACTTGATTGCCCAGCTGATCTTGTCTTTCATAGTGGAGGCATGAATCCTCCAGTTGCATGTGTCAATAGCACACCTTGCTATCAATCTTGTTGGGTCACTCTTTTCTACATAAACCCCAAACCCTTCTTGGACACAGTAGTCCTTAAACACATCCAGAAATGACTGCCTGTCTGCAAATATGAGCCATGTGTCACGACCCACACATTCCACCCCTCACTAGGGCCATTGGACGGTAGGCAACAATCGTGGCTAGGGGGAATGCCCTTGGTGCGCGCTGGCTAGGCCAGAGACACCCTCCCCCTATAGAGCTTTATATTGCTCCAATGCTGTCACCCTAGTGAACACCCAAGTGACAGTAACACAATAATGGGCTATTTGGGGACCCAAATGAAGTTCGATTGAGCCCAAATTTGGGGGTCCACCATTTTTAGGCCCAATGAACATCATGGTGGTGTTAGATTTTGAAGGAGAAGTCCGGAAGGTTCCAGAATACTCAAGGAGACTCGAGATGCATCCGGAAGCTTCTAGAACCTCCTAGGACATCCTTGAATCATCAGTAAATTCTAGAGTTGTGTAGATAATTCTAGAGCCTTGTACATAGAGGGAATGTACTAAAGAAATGTATAGAATACTCTAGAAAGGATTAGATCTAGAACCCTCCATTTGAGGAGGTTAGTGAAGGTTCTAGGCCATGCTTAGAACACTATAAATAGGGGACTTGACCTTCATTTGGAGGCATCTCAGAAAATACTTGTAAACACTCTCTCTCAAGCAATCAAAGCATTCAAAATATTTATATCCTCTTGTGTTCTCAACATTCCTTAACTTTCGTTGCACACTCTTGCTTGAAGCATTTCGGGGTTAAGCCTTGACTAGCATCCGAGGGAGAGAAGTTAGTAGGCTAGCGTGCATAAGACTAGGGGGATTAGTCAGCACTTGACAACGTGGTATCAGAGCAGCTACGGTCGTGGGGGACTATAGTGCTGTCGAGCTTTGTTAGCAAGTTGTGAGCGAAGGAGGAAGAATGGCAAAGAGCAAGGACGACAAGGACGCTAGTGCTTCACAAACAACCGAGGGCTATGCGCCTGAGGCTCTCATTCAAGCTGTCCAAAAGCTTGAGAAGCGAGTGAATAAAGTTGATGAGAGATCGGCCAAAGCCGAAGTTGCTGCTTGCGACATGACGGATTCTGTCGGCAAGGTCGAGAATGAAGTTATTACGCTCAAAGGGCAATTAGGGGAACTAGACAATCGTCTAGAGGAGGTATCCCTTGATGCTCAATCACTCGCTGATCAGGCTTTTGAGAAGATGATGGGCGAGATGGCGAAAATGCGTGAGGAGTTCACGGGGGAACTCCTTGCTTTGAAGAAGGAGAATGAGCTCCTCAAGGAGGAACTCACGTTGCTAAAAAGGGCTACGGTGGCTGGGGGCGCCACCATTCAAGCCGGTCCTAAGGTGGAAATCCCCAAGCCTCCAAAGTATCATGGAAAGAGGGATGCTCGGGAAATTAACAACTTCCTATGGAGCATGGAGCGATACTTTGAGGCTGTGCACTTGGAGGAGGATGCCTCCAAGATTAATGCTGCCACTATGTATCTCGGAGATGATGTCATTCTGTGGTGGAGAAGGCGTGAACAAGACATCAAGAGTGGTTCATGTTCCATCCGAACATGGGACCAATTCAAGGAAGATTTCAAGAAGCAATTCCGCCCGCATGACGCAGCCAAGGTCTCCATGATGAAGCTGCGTGAACTCAAGCATAGCAGCACCATCAAGGAGTACATCAAGCAATTTACAACCCTCGTGCTCGAAGTTGATGATTTGCCGGAGGCTACAAAGCTTATATATTTCATTGGAGGGTTGCAACGATGGGCTCAACAAGAGGTAGAAAGGAGGAACGTTCAAACACTTGCTGAGGCCATCGCAGCTGCAGAGTCCTTGGTTGATTACAAGGACACAAGGAAGGAAGGGCGCAGCAACGGCAGCAAGGGAAAAGGTGGGGGAGCCAAGCCCACCGATCGAAGCAGCACCAGTAGCAACAAGACGGTGAAAAAGGACAAGGCAAAGGGATCATCGTCGTCTTCTTCATCATCTGAAAAGCCCAACAACAGGGGCTGTTACTTGTGCGGAGGGCCGCACTGGGCAAGGGATTGCCCTGGGAGACAGAAGCTCAGCGCCATCATAGCTTCGGGCGGTGAATCGTCGGGGGACGATGCACAAATGGGGTCGTTGCGCCTCTTTAGTAGCGTACGGGCCACACCAAAAGCTGAGGAGAGCACCAAAGTGGTCAAGGTAAGCACGTTACCTCGCCCGAAGGGCTCACTTATGTTTGTTGATACATTAGTGAATGGGAGAGCTTCTAAGGCACTCGTGGACTGTGGTGCCTCACACAACTTCATTACGGGGAAGGAAGCAATGAAGTTGGGAATCAAGTACACCAAGGAACCGGGGAGGATCAAGACAGTCAACACCTCGCCCGTTCCTATCCTTGGTGTGGCGCACAAGGTGCCTATTTGTCTGGGACAATGGAGTGGCACCATAAATCTCACAGTCGTGCATATGGACGACTTCTCTTTGGTGTTGGGACTTGAGTTCATCGACACAGTAAGGCCCTTTTCTTTTGAAGCGGACGGGTCAATTATGATCAAAAGGGATCAAGGGTCATGGTCCGTTCCTGTCACACGAGAAGAAGTTGAAGCCAAGACAATCTCAGCAATCCAGGTGTCCAGGGGGATCAAAAAGGGACAAGAGACTTTCTTGGCTTCACTAGTGAAGGAAGAGGAGCCCCATGGGAATGAGGTTCCATCAGAAATCTCCGGAGTCCTTGTAGAGTATAAGGATGTGATGCCTCCGGAGCTACCGAAGAGACTACCTCCTAGAAGGGAGGTGGATCACGAGATTGAGCTGGAGCCAGGGACCAAGCCTCCAGCCATGGCACCATACCGCATGGCCCCACCAGAGCTCGAGGAATTGAGGAAGCAATTGAAGGAGCTGCTGGAAGCAGGGTTCATTAGGCCCTCAAAGGCACCATTTGGAGCACCAGTACTATTTCAACGCAAGCATGATGGCAGCTTGCGAATGTGCATTGACTATCAGGCTCTCAACAAGATCACTGTCAAGAACAAGTATCCAATCTCGTTAGTCGCCGATTTGTTCGATCGACTCGGCAAAGCACGGTACTTCTCCAAGTTGGACCTGCGATCGGGGTATTGGCAGGTGCGCATCGCCGAAGGGGACGAGGCGAAGATGGCATGCGTGACCAGGTATGGTTCTTATGAGTTCTTGGTGATGCCTTTTGGACTCACCAACGCCCCTGCTACTTTTTGCACCTTAATGAATAAGATTTTTCGGCCTTTCCTTGATAAATTTGTAGTCGTCTATCTCGACGATATCGTCGTGTATAGCGACAACTTACAAGATCATGTGGAGCATTTGAGACAGGTGTTCCAGGTCTTACGAGAGAACGAGCTTTATGTGAAGCAAGAGAAGTGCTCGTTCGGACAGGAGGAGGTGTCATTCCTGGGACACCATATTAAAGCCGGAAAGATAATGATGGAGCATGACAAGGTGCAAGCCATCAGGGAATGGGAGGAGCCCAAGAACGTGTCGGAACTACGTTCTTTCCTTGGGCTCGCCAACTATTACAGGCGGTTCATCATGAGCTACTCAGCACGGGCGACACCATTGACTGACCTGTTAAAGAAGAAGGCACAATGGTGTTGGAGCGACAAATGTCAAGAGGCCTTTGATGACTTGAAAGATGTCGTCACCAAAGAGCCCGTATTAGCACTGCCCGACTACTCAAAGCCATTCGAGCTACACACTGATGCCTCAGATTTTGCTATCGGAGGAGTTCTCATGCAAGAAGGGCATCCAGTGGCCTATGAGTCACGTAAGCTCAATGACACTGAGAGGAGATACCCAGTGCATGATAAGGAGATGACAACTATCATTCATTGCTTGCGTGTCTGGAGACATTATTTGCTTGGGAGTCGGTTCACCATCTATACCGACAATGTTGCAACAAGATACTTCCAAAATCAAAAGAAGCTTAGCCCCAAGCAAGCTCGATGGCAAGACTTCCTGGCTGATTTTGACTACGCTATGGAGTACAAGCCAGGGAAGGTGAATGTAGTTGCTGATGCTCTAAGCCGCAAGGCAATCTTTGCTAGCGTGAGCAGCATAGCTAGCACCCTCCTTGATCGAGTCAAGGACGGTTTAAAGGAGGATTCTATGGCCAAGAGTTTGATGGACTTGGCTAACGAGGGAAAGACCCGACGCTTCTGGATAGAGGATGGGATACTCTACACCGTCGGACGTCGCACCTATGTGCCTAAGTGGGACAACCTTAGGCGTGACATCATGAAGGAGTGTCATGATTCATTATGGGCTGGTCACCCTGGGATACAGCGGACAATGGCACTCTTGGAAGAGGTATACTACTGGCCTCACATGCGGGACGATATAGAGGCCTATGTGAAGACTTGTCTTGTGTGCCAACAAGACTAGGTAGAGCAACGTGTGCCAGCAGAACTCTTGGAGCCCTTGCCTATACCAGAGAGGCCATGGGAAAGCGTCTCAATGGATTTCATATCTGCCTTGCCCAAGTCAGAGGGGTTTGGCTCTATCATGGTGGTAGTTGATCGCTTTTCCAAGTATGGGACTTTTATACCGGCACATAAGGATTGCACAGGGGAGCAAGCCGCCAAGTTATTCTTCAAGAATGTGGTCAAGTACTAGGGCTTGCCAAAGAGCATCGTCAGCGACCGTGATCCAAGGTTCACTGCAAATTTTGGACGGAGCTTTTCAAGTTGCTAGGGTCAGGTCTACATTTCTCCACAAGCTTCCACCCGCAGACGGATGGGCAGACAGAGCGAGTGAACGCTTTGTTGGAGCTCTATTTGAGGCATTTTGTGAGTGCCAATCAGCGAGATTGGGCAAAGCTCATAGACATTGCCCAATTCTCCTTTAATCTGCAGCGGTCCGAGGCAACCCAACAAAGCCCCTTTGAGATAGTCATGGGTCAACAACCCTTGACTCCACAAGCAGTTGTATTGGGATACACGGGTAGCAGTCCCGCTGCCTACAGATTAGCTAAGGGATGGCACGAGCAGCTCGACATCACCAAGGCTTACTTGAATAAGGCCGCTAAGAAGATGAAGAAGTGGGCCGACAAAAACAGGCGCCCATTGGAGTTTCAAGAAGGCGACCTAGTCATGGTGAAGCTCTTGCCGCACCAATTCAAAGTCTTCCGCAAGGTGCATAAGGGGCTAGTGTGGAAGTATGAAGGGCCATTCCCGATCATTAGGAAGGTCGGGAAAGTTTCCTATAAGCTTGAGCTACCTCCCAAGCTGAAAATACATCCGGTGTTCCATGTTAGCATGTTGAAGCCTTACCATGCCGATCTGGAGGATCAGACCAGGGGAAAATCACAACGGGCACCTACGGCCGTGGTAGGATCGTTTGAAAGGGACATTGAGAGCATCGAGGCAAAGAGAGTCATAAGGCGTCGAGGTGTGCCAAGCTACAATGAATACTTTGTTCGTTGGAAGGGTCTCCCGGAAAGCGAGGCCTCGTGGGAAAAAGAAGAAGATTTGTGGCAATTTGCGAACAAGATCGAGGCGTTCGAGTCGGGATCTTGACGAGGGCGTCAAGACTTAGGTGGGGGAGTATGTCACGACCCACACATTCCACCCCTCACTAGGGCCATTGGACGGTAGCCAACAATCGTGGCTAGGGGGAATGCCCTTGGTGCGCGCTGGCTAGGCCAGAGACACCCTCCCCCTATAGAGCTTTATATTGCTCCAATGCTGTCACCCTAGTGAACACCCAAGTGACAGTAACACAATAATGGGCTATTTGGGGACCCAAATGAAGTCCGATTGAGCCCAAATTTGGGGGTCCACCATTTTTAGGCCCAATGAACATCATGGTGGTGTTAGATTTTGAAGGAGAAGTCCGGAAGGTTCCAGAATACTCAAGGAGACTCGAGATGCATCCGGAAGCTTCTAGAACCTCCTAGGACATCCTTGAATCATCTGTAAATTCTAGAGTTGTGTAGATAATTCTAGAGCCTTGTACATAGAGGGAATGTACTAAAGAAATGTATAGAATACTCTAGAAAGGATTAGATCTAGAACCCTCCATTTGAGGAGGTTAGTGAAGGTTCTAGGCCATGCTTAGAACACTATAAATAGGGGACTTGGCCTTCATTTGGAGGCATCTCAGAAACTACTTGTAAACACTCTCTCTCAAGCAATCAAAGCATTCAAAATATTTATATCCTCTTGTGTTCTCAACATTCCTTAACTTTCGTTGCACACTCTTGCTTGAAGCATTTCGGGGTTAAGCCTTGACTAGCATCCGAGGGAGGGAAGTTAGTAGGCTAGCGTGCATAAGACTAGGGGGATTAGTCAGCACGTGACACATGGCTCTAAAGTGATGGATCCAAACTCCTGATTGGTCCAAATTTTGCCATTTTTATATGTTTTATCCATTGCTGAACTGCCATCCAAAAAATCCTGAAACTGCTTCTCTGGAACATCATCATGAAGGTCATCTGTGTCTCTTTCATCCTCTATGAAATCACAGAGATCTGCCTCATCATCATCTTCCTCACTGCTAGAAAGTATATAATCATCATCCTCACTGTCACTTCCAAACTCATCAGAGTTTTCTTCAGAGTTTTCTTCACTGACAGGAACATTTGTAGCCATGTTCCTTGCTGATCTCCTCAGACTGACACCAACCCCCTTACCCTTGCTAGAAGCAGTCTTTTTTGACCTAAATCCCTCAGGTCTTGATCTCCCCTTTTTTGCTGGAGCAGATGGTGGAGGTGGAGGTGGGACTTCTGTTTCTTCACTGACAGGTACATGGGAAGGATCAGGGGAGGGTTGTGGTTCAGGGACTGGTGGGGAGGATTGTGATTCAGGGACTGGTGGGGAGGGTTGTGATTCAGGGACTGGTGGGGAGGGTTGTGGTTCAGGGACAGGTGGGACTGGTGGGGAGGGTTGTGGTTCAGGGACTGGTGGGGAGGGTTGTGGTTGAGGAGGGGGTTGGGATCTTTTTTTGGGAGTGGTTTTCTTTTTCCTAGGAGTGCTTTTTTTCCTAGCTGATGGCTTCTTGGGCTGGTTAAAAGGAGAGGCTGGTTGAGAGTTTTTTGGTGGAGTTGGTGGTTGTGTACTTTGTTCAGGTTGAGGCTGTGATGCCCCAGGAAATACCACATCAGCTTCTGGGGTGGCAAAAACTCTAACATATTCAACATCATTTATCTCCTCTGCATTTACAACAGGAACCTCAACTGCAACTTGATACTGTTGCTGTTCCATAAGCTCCCTCTCAGCTTCCTGCTCTTCAACCACCCTCTTGGCCTTTTCCAGTTCTATTCTCTCCTTCTCAGCCTTTGCCTTAAGCCTATTTTCCCAACTAGCTACATCATCCTTAAACACCACACTAGGTCCACTCTTCTCCTCTAAGAACACTTGTATTGTTTCCCTACCTTCATACCAATCCCACATTTGCAGCATTTGAGTATCCCCAGTTAACTCTAACTTCCTATTAGTCCTAGGAGGCATTACATACAAACTAAAGTATTTGGGAAGGATCACATTTTGCCTTTCTGAATCCTCAAACATGTACTCAAACAAGTCCATTAGACTTGTTCTGTCAGTATCCTCAATCCTCACATCAAACCCCTGGTCTTTGTAATGAACATCAAGCCACACTGAACTCATCCTAAGAACAACAAATTACTTATTACTACAATGCACTTCAACACACATCATTCATATCAACAAACACATATGCACTCAAATATACTGATCAACTTGCAAATTTAACTCTCAAGCACACAATTACTACGATAAACACAAACCGGGTTACCCCAAAACACACATTGACAGATTCATACCCACAATTCCAGTTTTTAACATGCATTTTTTCAATATTTCACAAAGGCCAATTCAAATACACAGATTGCACTGATCATATTGCAAAACCCTAACCCTAACACAATTTTCGTAAAAAATATCAGAATCGAAAAGCGAAATAGAGTATCGATGGATAGATTATTACCTTGCGTGCTATCTCCAACCCCTCAAACTGAATTTTGCACTTCAAACTTCCTTCAAGTTCTGGCACTACTTCCTCGCACTTCTGGGTTCGCCCAGAATGAAGAACACCAAAAGGTTCGAACTTGTTGCAGAGTTCCGTCGTTCAATGCTCCAACTTTGCTTCTTCGTTGCCAGAGATTTCAAGGTTTCAGTTTTGGTGAACTTTCGAAGAACAGGGGAGAAGTTACGGAAGAACAAGGTCCAACAACAATTGAATAATTGAAAAAAGAGAAGTCAGACAATCAACTTCTTAATGGCGGCATTAAACACAAAGAAAGGGTAAAATAGTATTTTCGCAATAACGGCCAACTAACGTCCTGGCATCATTAATGACACGTTGTGTTAATATACTAGTTGTTAATGGCATTTGGTGAATTCTGAAAAGTTCGATGACATTTGATGAATTTCGTAATTTGTCAGTGACATTTGGTGAAATAGCCGTATAATCTATGGACTATGTAACATTGTACTCGGTATTAACTAGCGATCACGACGTATGAAACATAATACGTGTACGAAATAATAAAACCCATGTTTATCCTTTCCACATACTTAGGGGTATTATATTACTTCACCAACTACTCTATTAAACAAGCAACTTGCCAACAAACAAACTGACAATTTGTTTAATTTGTTTAAGCAAAATTCTCCAGATTCAGAGTATATTCTCAAAGGACAGTAACATCCATACATTCAGATAAGACTAATATTCTAGCTAAATTTTTTTTATGATTAATTTTTGGTGGAGGAATCTAACTGTACAATACTACTTCTACTAATATTTTAAGATTCAACAACAAATCTTTGAGAATAAAAAAAAAATATATCTAAAATAATATACTAGTCCAAATTTCTTTCACATAAAATTGGACCACCTTTAACAAGATTATGGCTAGAAAATTTTCTTCATAACCAAATATCACCTTTTTTTTTTTTTTTCCTTTTTTTAGAATAAGAAACTAATGAACTTGAGCCAAGGAGAAGCAAGTTTAGTTGCTTGATCAGCCTGTTTTGCACAAGACGACGCCGTTTCCGCCACCTCTTTCCTCTTCTTGCATAGGAAGAAGTTTCTTGACCCTAACTCTGCAATCTTCTCTTCCCTATCCAAACCTGAAATCCACCAATTAAAATTTCATCAATTAACCTTCCAATCATCGATTAATAACGACACAACATAATTTGAACGAGTAATGCGACAAATAAGATAATACTATATGATCATATGATTTATATCAATGATAGACTAGTATATTGACTAATACTTTCACGGCTTTAGTTGTCACGTTGATAGAGTAACTTAAACGAGTACCAATAAATAATCCGGGCAGACTAATAATAATACTTATAATAAATAATACCAGTAATAATAATAGAATTAGTTCAATATTTAAAAGATTCTGACAGAGAAAATCGCATCAACAGAACAATTTAAACCAACAAATCAGGGAAAATAACAACGGAATCTTATATGAAATTAAAATAAAAATAAAAAAAAGAGGAGAGAGAAAATTACTTTCAAGGCTAAACTGAGAGTAATGGAGGTCAAAATCATCAACAATGGCGGAAGAAAGAACAGGACGACGACCTTCTTTGACATACTGTTTAAGAGCAGTATCAATCAAATCTTTAACGATAAAAATAAGGACTAATAATAACCTGAACAGCACCAACACTTCCTTGAATCGTCACATTCAACAACACTTTCGTCAATTTCTTCGGCTTAACCTCCTCATTAACCGGAGATTCACCGGAAAATTGCATAGCCGATTTTGATTTTAAATCCGGCACCGTTTTGGGTCGCCGGAGATTCTCCGTCGCCGGCGAAACTCCGGTGGTTCTACTGCTGAACGACATCGATCTCTCGGAAACTCTAGGGGAAAACAATATGCCGTTCCTGCTCGAATTGGGGGATGGCATATTGAAGAGCAAGAATTTATAATTTTTTCGGTCCGAGCCGGTTTGTGAACACCCCTATAAATATTACGGTCTTAGGGTTTATGTAGCCAACTTCACTTACGGATTTAAATTTGATTAGCGTAGGCGACGGTAACGGTGATAGCGATGGCGAGGAAAGCCGAAAGCGGAGGTGAAAGAAGAGCGGAGGCTCTTAGATGAGTAATTAGCAGCATAAATTATCATAAAGTCATTTAATTTGTTAGACAATTAAGAGTAGTAATCAAAAAAATTGATGTGTTTTATTTTTTGAAAGGGAGATTATTATTTGGAGTGATGACGGATAGGAAAGGAGGGAGGGGTGATTTATAGTGAGGGAGGAGAGAGAAAGTAAGGAAGGTAATGATGGTCCAATCATGATAAGTTTAAGGATATGGTTGATTGGTGTTTATTTTCTTTAATTTAATTAATTGTTGGGAAATGGGGATGTTGGGAAATATAATTACTTAATTAATTTGGGGTTAAAAAAATGAAATTATTATGGTTCCTTCATGAAATAATGAAGGGTGGGTCCGTAGTTAGTGAACATGCCGGGCTGAGCTCCGGCTCTGCGCACCTGCTCACACCTTTATAAATTGGTAGTTTGATAATTTGTGGCTCATTTTAATGCTAGTTTTGAGTTAAAAGATGCGGTTACTATCTCTGTTTTTTGACTGTTACTTTATACGAATCAAACATTATATTATACTCCGGATATGTTCACATTTACTTAATTTCAATTAAGTTCAGTTCAACTCTAATCAGTTCAGTATAGCTCCAATCAGTTCAGTTCAATTCAGCTCTTAATTTCCTTCTCTCATAAAATATTCATTTCAGCTCAGTTCAGTTCAGCTCAGCTCTAATCAATTCAGTTCCTTTCAGTTCAGTAAATGTAAACAAACCCTCTGTATAATAACATTTAATATTTATACATTTGTTAGATCAACGCGTTTTGTAAGTGGTGGCTGGGATGGCCACTTGTAAAACAATAAAATAATTCTTACCATGTAATACTGATCGGTAGTGTCGGATCCAGAATTTTATGAGTGATGTGTCACTGTCATCCATCAGCCGCATACCAATCAATAAATAATGCATGAATATTCAAAACTTAATAATTCAATAATTAAAAGTCACTCCAAAAGTATCCATATTACAACCAGTTATTTTAAAAAGAATACAATTATTCCCTACGAGTTTTCATGTTTTGATATTGATCTATGACATCATTAACAAATCTCGCTCTGTATAAGTAATTAAGAAATTATTCAAAATTTGATCTTCATTGTAAAGAGTGGGGGAGGGGCAATCGGGTAGTGTAGGTTTTTTTTTTTTTTTTTTTTTTTTTTTTTTTAAATTTTAAATGTGGGATAGGATTAGTGGCTCTAGATTTTAGGGGCTTTGGGTGGAGGGAAGGGAAATTGGTGTGGTGCAATTCAAAGAAGGGGGTGACACTGATTCACGGGGCTAGGGGGAAGGATGGCGCTGACGTGATGGGAGAAGTAGGCTTTGCTAGGGCGGTGTGAGGCAAGGAGGGGGTGGCTAGGGTAGTGCTTTTCTTTTACTTTTTTTAATGAATTAAAAAAAAAATACTACCTCCGCTTCGCATTACTCGCAACAAAGGAATATTTTATTTCTCACAAATAATACTCCTTTGTTGTGAGACCAATAATACTTCTGTTGAGATAATATTATATTTGTGTAAAGATAATATTTAGGAAATATTGTTAGGATTCCTTAGTTATCTTTATGTTAATATTTGATTTGATATCATTCCTAAGCATAAGATAATTAGGAATATATTGTAACCTATATATGTACACATTGAGGCATAATGAGAAGTTGAGGTATTCAGTTAATTTGACATGATGTTCCGCCACCACCACCCCCAATTGATCTAGAGTATCATCTGGGATCGAGTGATCATCCCGGAATTATTATTACCCCAATTAAGCTCCGTGGTGAGAATTATGACGAGTGGGTGACAGGGTAAAGTCGTATCCCCTAATCAAAAATAATTCCTAAGTCCTCTAACTAAAGCAGATAGGGAAGTAGGGTCGATCTCCACAGGGAAACAAGTCTTTCTATTCCTAATTAACTAAAATAATCTAGATTATGAAGTAACCAATATTTATATTTGAATAAGAAACTAAACTACTAAGATTGAAAATAGGGAGAAAACAATATATAAAAGTAACTAGGGCACAGGTTCACCAATAAATAATACTCCAGGGTAAAACATATTAATCAATCATTGACATTGCATAAATAATATGATTAACAGGCTCTCGCAATTTATTAATCAACATAGATCTAACAGGCTCTCGCAATTTACTAGATCTAAGTTCTTATTGAAAATAGCCTTTAATATCAAATTAACATCTGCTCGATTCATCAATTCAATATTGCTATACTTTTACAAGCCGCAATTGTAAAGCGTTAAAACAATTCAATAAGAAATTATCATGCAATATCAAAAATCAATAATAGTCAATCATCAACGCATCAATTAACCAGATTGTAAAGTGCTTTCACTACGTATTACAATCACACAATTAATTTACCGGTATTAAATCTCATCTCTCGAATCTTGACTTAACCATTTATAAATTAATCTGCCTACTGAAACTAGACCTAAACATCAATTCTCATCTCTCGAATCTCAAATCAATATTGTCAAACTCATGCATAAAAGATAGGCCTAATCTAGTCACAGAGCATTAAATCAATCAATAGGAAATCAATCTAGCATTGATAATTAACAACAATAAATTACCCCTTCATATTATTCATGGATCCCCATAAACCCTAGAAATAGAACTACTCACACATATTAAAAACTAAATTAATCAAAGCAATAAAATAAGTCATGATGAAAGGAATAAAATAAACAACTAAGATTAAGAGAAGAAAAATCGTTACCAAAATAAATCTGGAATTAAGAAAGTAATTAAAAACAAAGGTTTTAGAGAAAGAAAATCTAAGAGAACAATTAAGAGAGTAAAGAAAGAGTAAAAGGAAAGAGAGAGAGAAAAGAGAGAGTAAAGAGAGAGTAAAGAGAGAGTAAAGAGAGTCCTAAAATCGTATTACGGAGGAGTATTTATACTCCGTACAAGTTCTAAGTTAAAACAAACTAAAACGACGCTAATCGTCTACTAATCAATACACGCGCCCGATCGGGCGCGCCTTTTTGCTCGATGTACTAATCTCGAGCCCGGCCGGGCGCGTCACTGGGTGCCAACCATAGCTTCTCCCGCTCGGCCGGGCGCGCCTCCGGGCGCCAGCCTCTTTGGCCGGGTGGCTCACTTGGGCTACTATTTGGAATACGATTGGGCTTTAATTCTTCGGGCCAATCTGGGTTTCCTCTTCCGGTCTTGAATACTCGGTCCAAATGCCCCGGTATCACCTATATCGAGCCCTTAATCACCGGTTCGATGGCTCTAACCGGCCCTGGGCTATAAAATCTGGTCGTGCTTCTCCAATGCTTGTGATTGCTCCAAAATAACTCGGGAAAATACTCCAAAAACATAAATCCCTACAAAAGTCAACCAAATCTACGAAAACACTAGAAAACACCAATTAGTAATAAAAGTGGCTCTAAAGAGACAAAAAAACTACTAATTACGACCAAGGGAAGGGGGTAAAATACTATATAAAATAGACACATCAGTGGGCTAAGGCAATGCGTCGCGCGTTGATTGCAAAGTGGAAGTATGGGTTTGTGGATGGCTCGATGAAGAAGCCTGCTGCCGATTTTCCACAAAGGAAGCACTGGAAAGCAGTCAACTCGATGCTTGTCTCTTGGATCAGTAATACGCTAGACGAATCTTTGCGTTCTACCATCGAGGATTATGACTATGTTAGCGAGTTATGGGTACACTTACAACAGCGATATTGTGTTGTTAGTGGTACTAGAGTGTGTCAATTGAAGAACTCTTTGGGTGAGTGCAAGCAAACGTCCACGGAGTCGGTGACGGAATATTTTGGACGATTATCCAAAATATGGACAGAGTTGCTGCAATATTCTCGAATTCCGAAGTGTTCTTGTGGGCAGTGTACGTGTAATATTGCGAAGCAAGTAGGTGATATTCGGGATGAAGATTACTAACATTATTTTTTGATTCGCCTAAATGATCCGTATGAGGAAATCCGTGCTCAATTGTTGGCACAAAACCCTCTGCCTCATGTGGATAATGCGTATCAAGCGATGATCAACACCGAGAGACTACGGTCTAAGGATGGAAAGGTGAAGGAGAACGTAATGGCGTTTAAAGTAGACTCGCGTGCTAAGTCCAGTGATGGTGAAAGACCCTTTTGTACCCACTGCAATCGGGAAGGCCATGACAAAGAGGGATGTTACCAATTGATCGGGTTTCCCGAATGGTGGGACGAGAATCGCAAAGGAGGAAGGGGCCGTGGCAGAGGTGCTCGTGGGGGACGAGGTGGTGGTCGCGGTGGTGCTAGTGGGGGCGTAATAATGCCTCTACGAACACTACACACCGCGCCAATGCTGTACAAGGGGGCGTGAACAATAATAGTGCAGCAAGCAGCAATCAATCTTCCTCTACGCATGGACTAGTGGGTGTGACCTCTGACCAAGCTCAACAAATCATTGAATTATTGAGTAATAAATCTAAGTCTCGCTTAGAAGGTAAGAAAAAAGTCCCGTGGATCGTAGATACCGAAGCCTCTAATCATGTAACGAATGATTTGTCAATATGAGGAACATTAAAACAATTTAAAATTGTCCGGTAGGATTACCGGATGGTCAAACGGTGAACGCGAATCAATTGGGTTCAGTTACACTAGATGGTGGTCTTGTTATTGATAATGTTTTTTTTGTACCAAATTTGAATTGTAACTTAATTTCTGTTACTCAATTAAGTGATGAGTCAAGATGTACAATACAATTTACTAACAAAATTTGTGTTATTTAGGACCAGTCGACGAGGATGGTGATTGGCGTGGGTGAAAGAGGAAATGGACTTTATTTTTTCCGAGGTGTGCCGCTAGTGAAGGTGCTGGCAGTGGATTGTGTGGTCGATCTTTAGCATCAACGCATGGGTCATCCGTCAGAAAAAGTTTTGAGGTTACTTCCGCCTGTGAGTAATTCAATTAGAAAGAATAATAATGTGTGTGATGTATACCCTCGAGCAAAACAATCTAGAGATAGTTTTCCTATTAGTGAAAATAAGGCTAGTAGTTTGTTTGATTTAGTTCATATAGACTTGTGGGGGCCTTACAAAGTTCCCTCTTCCTGTGGTGCTAAGTATTTTTTGACAATAGTAGATGATTATTCTAGGGGCGTTTGGATTTATTTGATTAGCAATAAAATTGAAGTTGAATTTCATTTTCTCAATTTTGTTGCCTTGATTAAACGTCAATTTAATAAAGATATAAAAGTGGTTCGGAGTGATAATGGAACCGAATTTAATCATCTAAAGGAATATTTTGTCAAAAATGGGATTATATTTGAGTCTTCTTGTGTGGGTACCCCTCAAAAAAATGGGAGAGTGGAGAGAAAACACCAAGATATTTTGAACGTGGCACGGGCATTGAGATTTCTAGGTGGATTGCCAATTAAATATTGGGGGGAATGTGCTTTGACAGCTTGTTATTTGATTAATTGTACTCCAAGTCCACTACTTGGAAATAAAACTCCATATGAAATGTTGTTTGGAAAAATTCCTTCTTATGAGTCGATTCGTGTGTTTGGATGTTTGTGTTATGCACATAATCAAAGAAGTAAAGGAGATAAATTTGACTCTCGGAGTAGAAAATGTGTATTTTTAAGGTATCCGTTTGGAAAAAAGGGGTGGAAATTGTTTGATTTAGAGACAAGGGATACTTTGTGTAAAGGGACGTAAAATTTCATGAGCATTTATTTCCTTTTGTTGAGCATTCGGGTGACAAGTCAGAGTTGAGATTGGGTGAGGAGATGAGTGGTGTAGAAAATGGAGTTGACTTTGATGAATTTGCAATGGAAAATGGGTGACATACAAGGTGTGGAAGCCGGAGGAGATGGAGCACCCATTGGGGGTCCATCGGGCGATGGCAGAGAGCAGCCCCAACAGCACGAACCCACTGCTTTGGGCGCTGGGTTACCAGCGGGCGCTGGCCGAGAGCAGCCCCAGCAACCCGAGGTAGCAAGTGCTGGTCTTGAGCCACACCAGGTCAGTCCAGCCACAGCAGGCCGAGAGCACAGCTCACCGCAGCACCAGGCTAGCCCAGCACCTGCTGGCTTGGTGCACGGCCCGCAAAAACAGAAAAAGGGGAATGAAATGCGGGGGCAGCAGTGACTAGAAACAGGGGAGGCAGAACACTCCGCGGCTAGGTTGCGGGGCAGTGAGGGAGACCGCAACGAGGTTGCGAAGTAATCGGACCAGCAGCAAGGGGCAGCTTTGGGTACACAAAGTTTGCATACACAAGATAAAAATGAAGAAGAATTGGGTCGAGGAAAGCGAGTAAAGATTCCTTCAACAAAGCTTCGCGATTGTGTTACGCATACTATTCGGAAAAATAAAAACCCATCGTAGTCATCCGCGGAATCATCTTCCTCAGGTACTCCTTATCCTATAACCTATTTTGTTAATTATGATCGGTTTTCCGAAAAGCATAGAAATTATATTGCTGCAGTGATAGAGGCACGGATTCCAAGAACTTTTAAAGAGGCAATGAAACATGAAGGGTGGAGAAATGTAATGGCATATGAGATTAAGGCCTTAGAAGATCAAGGTACGTAGACTTTGGAGACACTTCTGAAAGGGAAGAGAGCACTTGGAAGCAAGTGGGTTTACACTGAGAAGAGAGATGAAGAAGGCAAACTGATCAGATTGAAAGCTCGATTAGTTATTCTGAGAAATCATCAAGAGGAAGGCATATACTACAATGAGACGTTTGCTCCGGTGGCAAAGATGTCTACAGTTCGTACTTTTTTAGCTGTAGCAGCGGTGAAGGAATGGGAAGTGCATCAAATGGATGTACACAATGCCTTTCTCCATGGAGAGTTGGAGGAGGAGATTTACATGAAAGTTCCCCCCGGGTTTCAGAAAAACAATTCAGATAAGGTGTGCAAAATGAACAAATCGTTGTACGGGCTAAAACAGGCGCCTAGATGTTGGTTTAAGAAATTGTCCGTGGCTCTTAAGAAATATGGTTTCAAGCAGTCATATAATGACTATTCGTTGTTTAATTTGACGAAAGGTAAATTGCAGTTGAATGTGTTAGTTTATGTGGATGACATGATTATTTCTTGTAATAGTAAATTTGCATTGGAAAGTTTTAAAGCATATTTGTGTGAATGTTTTAAAATGAAAGATCTAGGAGCCGTGAAATATTTTTGGGATTGGAAGTAGCTCGTAGCAAACATGGATTTTATGTTTGTCAGAGAAAGTATGCCTTGGATATTATTTTAGAGACAGGATTGTTAGGTGCTAAACCTGCAGATTTTCCGATGGAGCAAAATCACAAGCTAGCAGTTTCAGGGGGGAAGGAGTTCGCGGATGTTGAGAAATATAGGCGTCTGGTAGGACGTCTAATATATCTGGTTGTGACTAGGCCAGACTTGGCATATTCAGTGCATATACTATCTCAGTTTATGCGATCTCCAACGGAGTTGCATTGGGAAGCCGCTTTGAGGGTAGTACGTTATCTAAAGAAGTGCCCGGGCCAAGGTATTCTTCTTCGATCTGATAGTGCTTTGCAATTAGAAGGTTGGTGTGACTCGGATTGGGCAGGTTGTCCATTGACTCGAGGATCTTTGACTGGTTGGTTTGTGTTACTTGGTTTCTCTCCTGTGTCGTGGAAGACTAAGAAACAACCTACGGTGGCTACAAGTTCGTAAGAAGCAGAATATCGATCAATAACGGTCGTGACATGTGAATTGAAGTGGTTGAAGAGAATGCTTCGAGATTTAGGGGTTGAACACAAGCAAGGGATGAAATTTTTCTTTGATAGTCAGTCAGCTCTACATATTGCTAATAATCCAGATTTTCATGAGCGAACCGAGCATATTGAAGTTGATTGTCATTTTATTAGAGATGCGATTCAAGAGGGTCTCATATGTCCGTCATATGTGTCTACGAAGCGGAAATAATACTTCTTTGTTACGAGTAATGCAAAGCGGATGTAGTAATTAATTAATTAATTAAATAAGACCTAATTAGAGGCTACCATTAGAGCTGACAAAAGCTGACCTAAGCTAGAACCTGATTATTAATCGACCTGTTTGAACCCAAAAAAAATGGTAACCTGAACTCGATATGACCCGACCTAAAACCAACCCTAGACTCGAGTTAACCCGAGTATTTGAGACCCGAACCTGAACATGAACCGATTTGGAGATAACTCAACATGAACCGAATCTGACATGAACCAAGATTGACCCAAATCCGTTTTAACCCGTCAATACCCGAATTTAACTCGAGCTTCTACTAACCTGAACCGAATTTAACCCAACCTACTGTTATTAAATCTACCCGAATTTAACCCGACCTGTTACTAACCTTACCCGAATTCTACTCGACCTGTTATCCCGACCAGAAATTCAACTCGATTTGTTACTAAACTGACCTGAAACCAACACGACTTGTTACTAACCTGACCCAAATTCAACCTAAATTGTTCATGTCCCATTTCAAACTCAACCTAACCTGTTATTGACATAACTCTCTTTCAAATCACCTTAAATTCAATTTAGATCACCTTATTACTATTAATCAAAGTATAGTTATATAGTTACGTTGTCACTTATTATGTATATCTTATCTAACCTTATTTGAACTAATTAGCTCAATTTAAACTTATTTGAAAGTATTTCTCTTACAATAGATGAAGAAAATGATAATTATTAAACGTGAATGTCATTACATGAACTGCTAACAAACCGACCCATAGAATGTACTCAAACCCTATATGACTCGACCTGAAATCAACCTGAAACTCAGATTAACCCAATATTTGAGACCCAAACACGACTCGAATTGGAAATGACCAGACTTGATTGTAACCCGCAAATTATTGACTTGAACCGAACCCGACTTGAACCCAAGAATGACCTGACTTGGAAAGGACCCGACCTGATTATAACCTGCAACGAACCCGACTCGA